ATAATTAGATAATTAATAAAATTAGATGATTAATATAATTGGATAATTAGTATAATTAGATAATTAATATAATTAGATAATTAGTATAATTAGATGGTTAGTATAATTAGATAATTAATATAATTAAATAAGAGTATAGTTAGATAATTAATATAATTAGATAATTAATATAATTAGATGATTAATATAATTGGATAATTAATAAAATTAGATAATTAGTATAATTAGATAATTAGTGTAATTAGATAATTAGTATAATTAGATAATTAATATAATTATAATAATTAGATAATTAATATAATTAGATGATTAGTATGATTAGATAATTAATCTAATTATACAATTCATATTATTATATGAATAGTATAATTGGATAATCAATATAATTAGATAATTAATTGATATTATTTAGTGAGATTAAATACTGGCTAACTTTTTTGTAGAAAAACCTTCGCGGAAGCATAACCCTGAAAGTTGTTCCTGGTTTCAAATTAGCGCCAGTGCCGTGCGAGGTTCGACTACAAGCCACGTATTATTAGAATTAAATTATATGCCGTCAATTAGTTTAGTGTATCTGCTTTTTTAATATTATATTAGCTGATTATTAATTGATAAATTGATTAACAAATTGATAGATATTAATATGACTGAACCAAATATTATATTAGCTTGTATTCATCATCTTTTACATCAGCTCTAATTTAAATTGTTTTTCAAGTTCGTAATTTCAATTCTTACTTTTGATATTTGACATTTAACTGACCGTTGATTAGTTTAGTTTTAATTCGTAATTAATTAACATTAATTGAATTATAGTTAATCGGGAAATAAATTGGATAAAAAATAACTTTTGAAAGATATTCGTGCGGGCAGAATTCTCTTACAATCCCGAGAAAGACGACCTCATCCCTTGCAAGTCGGCCGGCGTTCGCTTCGAGGTCGGTGACGTCATGCAGGTCACGTGCAAGGACGATTTTAATTGGTGGCAGGCGAAACGCGTCAGCCAATCGGAGAGCGAGCCGGCCGGGCTCATTCCCTCGCCGGAACTGCAGGAGTGGAGGATCACGTGCTCGGCCATCGAGAAGGCCAGGAGGGAAAAAGGTGGTGATGATGATGGTGGGGGTTATGATGATGATGGTGGTGGTGAGTGATGGTGGTGATCATGATAACGATTGAAAAAAATGATGATGATAGTTGGTTTAACGATATTAGTAATGACGATGGTGATGACAATTATGATGATGATGACGATGACAATTGCGATGATGACGATAGCCATCATTTAAAATGATGGTGATGGCGGCGATGATAATGATTACGATGAAGATGATGACGACGATGATGATGATGATGGAAAAAAATAAAGGTAGCGATAATAGATGATGATGACAAAACTAGCAAATGTTTGTTTAAAAAAGACCAAAGAATAAATAGTTAGTTAAGATTATTGAGTCCAAGAGAAAAAAATTCTTTCAAAATTATTTATTTTTTTTGTTTTCTTTGCTGAACTTTTAAGAAATTGTTTGCAATAGTCATGGCGATGATGATGATAACGACGATGATGATGATGATACTGGTGATGGTGATGATGATGATAACGATGGTGAGGATGGTCTCTTGATTATGATAATGAAAGGCGGATAGATGGGTGGGCTTGATGGACGGAAGAACGGGTAAATGGATGAATGGATGGATACATGAACAATGGATAGATAAAATTTTTGAGAAAATATCAATCTTTTAATAAACACATCAACTATCTAATGATAAAAATGATTATAAAGATGAGGATGATGATAACAATGATGATAGTGATGAAATAACTACGGCTCGGTGGCCTAATGGAGCAAGTGCCTGGAACTACTCTTGCATTAACCCGGTTCAAACGCAAAGAGATCCCCTCATATCATACACACACACACACACACACACACACAAACATACACACACACAATTTCTTTTCGTGATGCATTCATTTATCGATTCATGCGTAACTACATTGCATGTGCTTGTCGCTATTGATACATCTGAAAAAATACTAGAAATAATTGTAAAAACCGACTTTGCTATTGATACCCGTAAGGAAGATCAAAATGAAAATTGTAAAACTTTACCCTACAAGGCTTCAACACCTGGTTCAATCGGCGCAAGAAGCAGCATCGAGACAGCAAGTACCTGGTGAAGAGGAACGCCATCTTCGACCAACTTGCCCTGTTGACGTATGAAGAAGTTATCAGGTTACCCTGCTTCAAACATAAGACTCTCGTTCTACTGGGTTGGTTCTTGTTGTTGTTGTTGTCGTCGTTGTCGTTGTTGTTGTGGTTGTGATTGTCGTCGTCGTTGTTGTGGTTTAGTAACTGTGGTAGTTGTAGTAGAAGTAGTAGTTGTTGTTTTTATGGTTTAGTAACTGTGGTAGTTGTATAAGTAGTTGTTGTTGTGGTTGTTGCTTAGCAGCTGTGGTAGTTGTAGTAGAAGTAGTTGCTGTAGTTGTTGTTGATGTGGTGGTGGTAGCTGTGTAGTTGTGGTAATTGTAGTAGGAGTAGTTGCTGTCGTTGTGGTTGTGGTGGTGTAGTTGTGGCAGTTATTGGGTTTTTTTGCTGTTCTGTTGGTGTAGTAGTCGTGGATGTCGTAGTAGAAGTAGTAGTAGTAGTAGTAGTAGTAGTTGTTGTTGTTGTTGTTGCTGTTGTTTTTGTTTTGGCGGTTAACAGTGTGATAAAAACACAACAACATCGGCAACATCTCAACAACAACAACAACGTTATACCGACAACACCACAAATCACAGCACAACCACACCACAAATCACACCACAAATCACAGCACACAACAACCACCACAACCACATCACAACCACACCACAAAACAATACCAGGTGCACACGGAGTTGGCAGACGACACATTAAGAATACTCTGATCACCGTACACTCCGACAAGTTTGCTTATCCGGCCCCACGTATGTTTACGTTTAAGTATGCTTATATTGTTGTATGTTTGTGTTGTTGTTTTTGTTGTTTATGTATGTTTATGCTGTTGTTTTTGTTGTTTATTTATGTTTGTGTATGTTTATGTTGTTGTATGTTTATGTTGTTGTTTTTGTTGTTTATGTATGTTTTTGTAGTTTGTATATGTTTGTTGTTGTTGTTTTGTTGTTTGTGTATGTTTATGTTTAGGGCGGCCTGATGGCTCAATGGTTAAAGGCGTCTGGTCTTGCTATTGCAATGACTGGTTTCGAATACAAAGAGATTCCCGCCTATCATATGCAATGTGTATGATGAGTGGTTTGCACGCGTATTCATATACGCTGTTTGTGTTTGTTGTTGAAACCTCTGAAGCAAACGCAAAAGAGAGAGAGAAACCTTTAACCTTTATGTAGTTGTTATTGTTGATTGTGTATGTTAATGTGGTTGTTTTTGTTGTTTATGTATGTCTATGTTTTTAATTTTGTTGTTTATGTATGTTTATGTTGTTGTTGTTGTTGTTTTATGTCTATGTTGTTGTTGTTGTTGTTTTCTGTGTATGTTGCTGTTGTTTTGTTTTATGTCTATGTTGTTGTTGTTTGTTTGTGTATGTTGATGTTTTTTTTGTTTGTGTATGTTGATGTTGTTGGTTTCGTTGTTGTTTATAATGACGTTGTCGTTTTGTTTGTACTGCGCATGTCGTTTTCGTCTGCGGCAAGATTGACGATGACGTCATCCAAGTTATAATAGCGGCTGATTTAAAAGTTATCAATAAACCTAATGAGGGATTTCTAGCAAAAGAGAACCCTCAACAACATCATTCACGTCATCAGTGACGTCATCAATTTTCATCTCAATCGTCGTCATCACGGCCATTTGTTTTGCCGTCAGTATCATCACCATCATCTTCGTCATTATTTTGCATTCTCTCGCAGCAACAAAAGATGACCTTGAGAAAGAGCGGGAAAATGTTGACCTATATTTTGGTTTTAACTTTTCTTTACTTTAAGAGAAAAAAAATTGAACTACAAAGGAATGAGAATTATGAAGAAATTCATTTTGGCGTGTTTCTGTGGAAAAACTTCTCTATTGGCGTCACCTCTTTTGTTCCATTCATTCGCAATGTTTAGAACGAATTCTTTTTTAATTTCGTCAAAGTACATTATTTGGTGGTGGTCTTTTCAATCATAATCATGGAGTAATTGTTAGTTGTTGGTTTGGTTTGTTGGCGATTAGTAGCATCGAGCCAGCCAGAAATTGAACTAAACTCAACCTACCTACCAAACAAACAACTAAAATGCAACAGGGCCTACAAGCAAATAAGATCAACTAAACAAACATCTACACAAACAGCCACACAACCAACCGACCAACCAACTATCCAACCAACCAATCAATCAACCATCTAACCAACTATCTAACCAATCAATCAATCAACCATCCAACCAATCAACCAACCAACTAACCCTCCAACCAACTAACCAACCAATGACGGCCAACCAACCATCCAACAATTTAACCAATCAACCAACTAATCATTCAACCAACTATCCAACCAACTATCCAACCAATCAACCAACCAACCATCCAACTAACTAACCAACCAACGACGGCCTAACAGACACTACAAGAGCCATGCGCGACGGCGAGGAACATGGGAAAGATTTCTACTTCGTCTCGCACGAGCAAATGATGAGCGACATTGCAAACAACGAATACCTCGAGTATGGAACCCACGAAGGCGCCTTGTATGGTACCAAACTGGAAACCATCAAACAGATACATGCATCTAATCTCGTTGCCATCCTTGACGTTGAGATACAGGTTGTTAATTTTTTTTCCACCAAGTTTATTTGAAAAAAAAATCATGTAACCAAAATAAGTAATCATCATTAAATGTTTAATTTAATAAACATACAAACTTGTACAAACACACAAACCAACATACACAACCACATACAAACCAACATACACAGCTAGATACATGCAACATACATACAACATACAGAACTAGATGCATATATACAAAACTATACAACCAAACTAATATATACGAGTTCATACATGCCAAAATATACAAACATTTAATCTAAATATACAAACATACAAACCAAATATACAGACATACAAACCAAATATACAAACATACAAACCAACTAAAATGTACAAACAAACATCTTCAGGCCCTGAAGATCTTGAGGAGTGCAGAATATGCACCATACATCGCGTTCATTGCGTCTCCTAACATTCCAGCTGATAGTGAAGTTGGTCGACATTCTTAAATTAAATTAGATAATAATTAAATTAGATATTTATAATAATTAATTTTTTTGTATTTTTACATCAAGTTTTTGTTGCTTTACACTTTCAATCAGAGGTTTTGCATCAGAGTTGAAAGCATCAAACTTGCCTAGTGTCGTGTGCTGTTGCATGTTTTGTATATTGTTGTATGTTTGTATGTTGTTTTATGTTTGTATATTGTTGTATGTTTCGAGTGTTGTTGTATGTTTGTATATTGTTGTATGTTTCTAGTGTTTGGTATGTATTCTATGTTGTTGAATGTTTTTTTATATTTCTGTACGTTTTATATGTTTAGATGTATGTTCTAGTTAAGTTTGTAAATTTTTTATATATTTTGTATATTGTTGCATGTTTGTATATTGTTGTATGTTTCGAGTGTTTGGCATGTATTCTATGTTGTTGAATGTTTTGTATATTCCTGTACGTTTTATATATTTAGATGTATGTTCTAGTTAACTTTGTATACTTTGAATTTTGTTCTATGGCTGTATATTGTTGTATGATTCGAGTGTCGTTGAATGTATTGTATAAGTCTGTATAATTTGTATGTTTGTACATTGATGTATGTATTATATAATTAAACATTACATCGGTGTACATATTGGTACGTGTAGTAGTACGTCATTGTATAATGGATACGATGACGTGGTATCATTGTGACGTAAGAGAGAAGCAGTGATATCCAATCCATTGTAGGCGCTCTCCGACGCATTCCTACTAGCGTGTGTGCGTGTGTGTGCGCGCGTGTGTGGGCGTGTGTGTGTGTGTGTCTTTGTCTGCGTCATCGTCGACGTCACTGCTGACGTCATCAACATTATTATCATCATCGTCGTCGTCTTCATCGTCCTCGTCATTGTTGACTTACTGTAGTGTTACTTGCCACTGTCAAATGTCCAGCATCGCAATGTGACCGTAATAATTTAAAATAACATAAATACATAAGTGACATAATAATAAATACATAACATATGTGATATACAAACACACACACACGTACACGCTAACACACAAAAAACACACAAACAAACACACACACACAAACAAACACCATTCACACTGACAAACACAACGACGCTGCACTTGTTGCGAATCAAAAACATCCCATCAAACAAACAAATAAAACGTAAATGAGGGTCAAATAGGACAATTATTATTATTAATATTGTTGTCGTTGTTGTTGTGATCGCATGACGTCATCACTTTCTCTGTATTGTTGTGATACTTGTTCTAATTACTTTGTTCCGTATCGCCGGAGTTAGGGCCACATAGTTAGGCCACTTTGGCCAAGTACGTACATACGTGCTTGCACTAGTTAAGTGCTACGGTGGCTTTTGTTGGTTTGTAATTATTTCAAGTGAATAAACCGTCTAAAAAGAAATAAACCACAACTACCACCATCCCCATCACGTCATCGTCGTCATCATCATCCTTCTCCTCCCAACAGAATCCCAACCTTCTGAAGTTGAAGCGGGACAGCACGGCCATGGAGAAGTCATACAAACACTACTTCGACATGATCATCGTCAACAATGACATCCAAAAAACCATATCATCCCTCGTAGAAACAGTGGACCGAGCTAACAACGAACCCAAGTGGGTCCCCGTCAGCTGGGTCTATTGAACTTTTCAGGGGGTGTTCAGCATTTAAAATTTTTGTATTTAACTTTGGGTTTTTCCTTTATATTTATATTTGTCATGATTGTCTTTGTTGCTGTTGATGTCTGTTGAGTTAGGTGGGTTAGGCAAAATTTATTAGAATTTTTTCAAATGTGTGTGTGTGTTTGTGTGTTTGTGCGTGGTGTGTGGGTGTATATATTTATATATATACATATGTGTGTTTGTGTGTGTGTGTGTGTGTGTGCGCGCGCGTACGTGTGTGTATGTGTGTGTGATTTAAATTAAAAAAAGTCTTTTTTGCTAAATTTTATTAATTTGTATTTTTTAAATATAAAGTAATATAATTCTTGTTTATATACATGTTTATATAGTTTTTTTGTCTGAGATATTACATACATATTAATTACATGATTAATTAATTTAATAATTGAACATCAAATGAAATAAGGAATGAGTGAGTGAGTGAGTGAGTGAGTGAGTGAGTGAGTGAGTGAGTGAGTGAGTGAGTGAGTGAGTGAGTGAGTGAGTGAGTGAGAGTGAGTGAGTGAGTGAGTGAGTGAGTGAGTGAGTGAGTGAGTGAGTGAGTGAGTGAGTGAGTGAGTGAGTGAGTGAGTGAGTGAGTGAGTGAGTGAGTGAGTGAGTGAGTGAGTGAGTCAGTGAGTGAGTGAGTCAGTGAGTGAGTGAGTGAGTGGATGAGTGAATTAATGAATGAGTTAATTGGTGAATGAACGTTGACTCTTTGTTATATGTAATTGCGTTTAACAAATACAATTAACAAATACTTCATTTTCTAAATACTATTTCAATAAATATTATACATCCATTTTTCAATTCTAATTGGATTTATTAATTTAATGAAAATAATTACAATCTTAATTTATTATTATTGTTCTTATATAATAATAATAATAATATATATTAACATAAATTTATATAATTATATTATTATCATTATTATTATTATTATTATTATCTACAAATGCAATTGTTGTAGATGTTGTTGTAGTCATATTCGTTGTTGTTATTTCGTCATTATTATTATTATTATCGTAATTAATTAATTAATTAATTGCATTGTTATTAAACAGGCATATTCAAATGTTTTTTACACATTTTTGTATACTTGTTACCTGGGCAAACCCACACTCACACCCACACGCACATACACACTCTCACACACACACACATATATACATATATATAATGCATGAATGTTCAATTTAATTTGATTAATTGGTTCAACTTTGTTAATCTGTTGCTAAGATCGAAAGCTTTAAGTATGTCTGCTTATGGCTCTTTGTGTGTGTATTTGTGGGTGCGTGTCTGTGTGTGTATTTGTGGGTGCGTGTCTGTGTGTGTGTTTGTGTGTGTGTGAGTGAGTGTTTATATGTATATGTGTTGGTTTTTATGCAACTTTGTACATTTGTATGTATGTAGAATGTTTGATTGTAATTGTATGCGAAAAGGTATTCATGGATGTCTCAAATGAAACATATCGAGACATCTATAGACCATCGTCTTCTGAGACTGAAGGATGCGACGACGACGACGATGGATCATGTATCTATCCATGTTGGAAAATATCGGTAATTAGAACGATGTATCGATATTTTTTCCGATATACCGATATCTCTCCGATATATCGATAATTTTTCCGATATATCGATAATTTTTCCGATATATTGAGGTTTTCTTCATATATCGATTATCTCACTCACGCGCAACCTGTTTTACTCATGAAACATATATATATATATATATATATATATATATATATATATATATATATATATATATATATAATGATATCACCTAAATTTTGCACCACTTCTGAAGAATTAAGCCATTAGATCAATTTTAGAAAATAAAACACATAATTTCAATTTGACAATATCATCTGTTTAAGCATTTTAGGAAGAAAGTTTTTTAATTCAGCATATTCATCTGTTTATACATCAAAATTCTTATAAAATAAAAGAATTCTACTGCAGTTATGACAAAAACTGGCCAAAAACTGTACCACAGGTACGTTGGTACTTACTTGTTATCCTACTACATCAATAAAAAAATTCATTTGTCCCAATGCAAGAAAAAAAAGATTTCGAAATTGCGTTTGATAAACTGTTTCAGAATTTACTTTCAAGAAATAAATTTTCAATTTATGTCAATGTCATTGTCAACTGTATTTGCAAGCTAAAGCTAGCTAGCACTATTAAAATCATCATTTAAGCTGGGAATTTTTCAATCGTCTCAACTTATTTGGCCTGAAAACGTCTCAAATTGCAATGGTTCGTTAAACGTTGATTTAATTTAATTTAATTGTTTCACGGAATTTTTGTTTAACGGACTAAAATTTTGTCTTCGAGGTTTTTGAGAGTTCGACTAAAAGAAGTACTTTTGCCATAAACGGATTTAACTAAACTTCAATATCTTGCAAACACATTGCTTTGCATCTAATGCATATGTGTATCTCTGTATGTGTCTAATGTTGTGTATCCGTGTATGTATAAACGTGCATGTATATGTGTATATTTGTGTGTGTGTATGTATGTATGTATTTATGTATGTATGAACGAATGTATGTATGTATTTATGTATGTATGTACAAGCCCATGTGTATGTATGTATGTATGTGTTTGTTTGTGTATGTAAGCTTATGGGGACACCAAAATGTGAGCATATTTCAAATTGTTGTTGCTGTTTTGCACATATGTTATTGACGATTATTACTAATATTAGTAAGATTGTTGTTGTTATTATTATTTATTATTGTTGTTGTTGTTGTTGTCGTTGTTGTTATTAAATGTATTTTTATCTGCAATTACATCCCTGCAGGATAAACTTGACTGTTGATGTTTTTGAAGTTCTTGCTGTTGATGATGACGTCATATTAATCACAAACTTTTATTACACACACACACACACACACACACACACACACACACACACACATATATATATATTTATATATATATATATATATATATATTTGAAACGAATACGTAAATATGATTTACGTAGTTACTTGGATTAGTTTAGTTAGTGTTTCTATTACTGTTGGTCCTCAAATAAACGTTCAGCAATGTTTACGTTTGAAGCAGTTGGATTCATCTATCGAAAATCTTGAACCTACGGATTAACGAACACTTGACGATCGATGAAAGCTACAATACTGGTGTTGGAAATATAGAGATCTTTGAAATATAGAAATCTTTGAAGATTTTTGAACATCGGTGTTGGTAGTTACGATGTCAATGATTTCAACAATATATATGTATATACATATATACATAATCATCTGGTACAGTTCTCAACAATTCAACAATGGCCATTTTTAATGATCTTTTTTCGTTTTCTTTTTAATTTTTTTTTTCAAATTTTAATTTGTGATGTCACGTAACGTAAGTAAAACTCATCATTTTGGACTTTTTTTTGGTTTGCTAGATTCAGTTTGTAAGAGTTGATTCTTGCGTATTAAATGTCGTTATTTTTGGTGCCAAACATTTTTTTAATCTGAAATATTTATGTATGTATATATATATATATATATATACATATAATTTTATTATATGGTTTATTATATTATATGTTATATATATATATGTACATGTATATAACATATATTATATGTTATATTCTATATGTATATATATATAAGCACACATTTATATAGCGCAAACATATTTGGAGATTTCCCTTAACTTTATATTCAAACGTTAACACTGATATTAAAAAGTAGATAGTCCGTGGTGTTAGTGAGCATTCATTAATTCATAATTTATTCATTCATTCTTCCAATTAAATTTATTATTTAAATTTATGAATTCTGATTTAAATTTATGAATTCTGACGACATTTGGAAAGGTTATTGGCAGTTATTTGAATATTTCTTATCTAAAGAAGTAATTGAATTATGCGTTCATATTGAGACATATACTTATTTTGTGTTCTTCAGGTTTTTCAATAAATTTCAAATGAACAATTATGAACATTGTTTTAAAATAAAAAAGTTGGCGCTAGATTATTTATTGTAGATCGTCGAGTTTTTTTCCTTTCTGCTTGAAAATGTTTTTAAAGTGAAATAATAAAATACGAATGTATCGCTCTTCTAACTTAACTTCCAATCGAAATAATAATTTAGTTATTTAAATAAATAATTATTTTGAAGAACAGTTCGCAAATTTCAAGTTTCTAATGGGGGCCTTTTTGGACAAGCCGATCACAGACAAATATTCGGAGGAGGGGGCTGATATGGAAAATGGCATCCGGTTTGGACTCTGTTGCATGCAGGGCTGGAGAATGGAGATGGAGGACGCCCACATCGCTGCCACGCACATTCCCGAATTACCGGGGTGGTCCTTTTTCGCTATTCTGGATGGTCACGCTGGTAGTTTTGTATCTGAAAATAGTGCGAAGCTACTACTGACAGCCATCTTATCGACGCCCGAACTGAAGAAGGTCGTTTTTGAAATATCGAACCACCACCTGACGAACTTCATTCCCAACAAAGAACAATCACTCGACATTGAGAAGGGAATTAAAAATGGGTTCCTCCTTGTTGATAAGTGGTTATTTGAAGTAGGTCAAACTAACTAGGTTAACTTTTCATAATCCTTTTGTTAAGGGTCTTAAAATTAATTAAAATGACATAAATTGCTGTTTATACTGTTTATAGAGTTTTTAAACTTTAGCATAAGCAGCATAAATTTGTGACCATAAACTGCGGGATTACCTAACTTTCAGCTAACTACTTTTTATTTAACTTATTTTTCATTATTGGTTATTATTGGAATATTTGAAGAAGGATTAATTTAAAATGATGTTTTATTGGCACTAAAATAAAAGCTACCGGAAGCCAAAGCAATAGATGACAGGAGTGGTACAACAGTTGTCTGCAGCTTCATAACCCCCACCCAGATCATTGTCATCAACTGTGGGGATTCAAGAGGGGTACTCTTCTCAGGTTTTCCCACTTTTGTTGCATTAATATGTAGTAATTCTTGGAATAGAAAAACAAATGAATCATTAACGATTAACATGATTTGATTATAATTCTATTGGTTCATTCTAACTAGACTATCTGAAAAGATGAATGTTAAGAATTAAGGAATATAGTTGATTAAAAATGAAATTCCTTATCTTTATTTCATGAAACATTGTTTCAAATTATCATTCATTATTGTCCTTTTAATTAACCTTTTAATTGTCCTAGTTAAAATTAATGTGGATCCTAGGCTAATGTGTTTTTGAATCACCAATTTCATTCATAATCACATTTTTCAATTCGCTAAACTTAGGAAAAGGGCAGAATGGAAATGTAGTGCTTGCCACAATGGACCACAAGCCCATCTTGCCAAAGGAGAGAGAGAGGATTGTGAGTGCAGGGGGGTATGTCATGATTCAGAGGATCAATGGATCACTGGCCGTTTCCAGGGCTCTTGGAGATTTTGATTATAAGGCTGCTCAAGGTTGTTTGGTTGGTTGACTGATTGGTTGGATGGCTGGTTGGTTGAGTGGCTGGCTGGTTGGTTGGCTGGCTGGTTGGTTGGCTGGCTAGTTGGTTGACTGGCTAGTTGGTTGGATGGTTGGTTGATTGGCTGGTTTGTGGGCTGATTGCTAGGTTTTTTTATTGATTGAATAAATGATTATTATTTAATTAAACTGCTGGGTTATTATTTGAGTTGAATTTCTAGTAGACAATAGTTACATTAATTGTTAACATGAGGTTATATGTGAAGCAACTACCAACACTGTCCACCATGATGACCATCTGAAGGTCGTTCACCATGGGAGCAAATGGTCTCCTCCGAACCCGACCTCTACATCTACGACCGAAACCCTTACGACCAGTTCTTGATCCTGGCCTGTGACGGCATCTGGGATGTCATCAGCAATAGGGATTCGTGTGACCTTGTGAGGTCGCGACTTCTCATCACCAAGGACCTCAAGACCGTTACCTGTAACCTCATTGACACCTGCTTTGCAAAGGTTTGTCGGCTATACACTTGTTTGTGACTAATTATTTCACGTTTTAAAGTTATTCCGTCATTATTTTGTAATCTTTTATTTGAATTTTTATCTAGTCCCATCTGTAGAAAAAACTTCAACTGATTTTTTTTTAGGGCAACTATAAAGTTTATAAATAAAAATAATTTGAAATTCTTACATACAGGGCAGCAAGGACAACATGAGCGCCATTGTCGTCTGTTTCAAGGGGGCTCCAAAGGACACCCCCGAGGCCCGAATGAGAGACATGGCCCTCAATGTCGCCATAGAAAGCAAAGTTGCTGGTACGTTTTTTATATTTTTATAATATTAATTACAATTAATAATATTATTTTACTAGATAATTAATAGCATTATTTATAAAGTTGCTGGTGTGTTCTGTACGTGCGTGCATGTATGTTTACTTGTTACATGCCAAGTACAAGTATGTGTGTATGCTGCCTTGGTATGAATGTTTGTACGCATTGTATCTGTGCATGTATTTGTATACGTTTGCCAAATCCAATGAAGAAATTCTGAAGAAGCCCCTGATGTACGAGGTTACGGACATCGTACAGTACGTTATAACCATGCTGGAGAAGGAGAACATAACCGACCTGCCACCTGGTGGAGGAATATTCGCTAAGTATTAAAATTGTTATTAATTTATTCTTTTTTCATTGTTCAGAAGCATCTCGACTGTCATCAACATGCTAGCGTAAAATTTTTCGTTGATGTCAGAAAATGAATTCGTCCGGCCTTATAGTCGGTTATAAAACTACAATGACGTTAATTTGTAGCGTCACTACCATGTTACCATTACCATGTTACAATTACCGTGTTACAATTACCATGTTACATTTACCATTTATTACCATGTTACCATTTCCTGTGTGACTTTACAGTGCTTCTAATACCTACTTTAGTCACAAAATCCATTCATTGAAAAGATTTTTTAGACTTTATTCAGTATCAATACCGTTAACCAGGTGTTGAAGTTGACTTGAAATAGGATATTCATTTGCAAGAATTATTAAGGTGCTTCAAGTTTTTTGACGATTTTAAAATTAAAATTCTACTTTTTAGGCGAGATGTTGTGGAGCAGACATGTAGGAAATTAGGACACCTTTTATGATTATTATCGTTGATTTAATTAATTGAAGAGTTTCATTGAAATTTATTTTTTAAAGTGTTTAATTAATTTTAATTCTGCCTTTCAAGTGACACGTTTACATTACATTAACTTTACATTACATTAACTTTTGATTTTCTAATAATAAATTCTCAATTTCTTATTCTCATTCAGGTCAGTAATTGTATTTTTGTGACCGCGTAGTTTGAAATTTATTTTGAAAGTATGTTATATATATATATATTTAAATAATTTTATTATTTAAAATTATTTTAAATATTTGCTATAAATGTTATAATAATTAAAATAATAAATAAATAGTACTAAACATCAAAAGCGAAATACAAATTATAAATAAGAGACTCTGCGCTGAAAATGTTTTGTCGGAACTGCTCTGTGCCTATACTTTGTTAGCTGTAGGTACACACATAATATATATATATATATATGTGATATATATATATATATGATATATATTATATCCATATAGATATATACCTATATATATTATACACATGTACACATCGGATCGTGAATAAACAAATGTTATTGAAGCGTGGAGCTAAACTACCGGAAAAAAATAGAAATCGTACATAGTATCAATAGATGTCGGACGAGATAGGCATGGTCATCATGTAGCCACCAAAATCTAATCGTTTAGTTCGATCACGTTCTAAGTGTTGGAGGTGAACACCGCGTCTAGATACCACCAGGACCACCTTTCATATTCTTCTAGGGCCGTAATGGGGCCGTTGTTTGCATCTATCTGGGCAAATTCACACGTACCCAGCTCGTCAAAGTAGTTTACAGACTTGCATAGATCCTGCAAAGTTTTCAAGCATCTGGTCAGGCAGTCCAGTGTGCTCCTTGCCTTGGTGTTCTTGGAGGTCATGGTCGCCTGCGTGAGGTTGGCTCTCATGTTCGGGCGTCTCCTCCACACGTTCCTCTGACCATTACCTGCTGATGTGGTTCATGATTTTTTTTAGATAAATGTTGGTTTATTCATTATTGTCAGCAAGTGAATTGTTTTTTTTTGGTTTTAAGATAATAAATAAAAATGATTTTAAATGGCTATGAATTCATTTTAGAACGCTTTTTGCTCTGTGGCATTTTCTCGATTGATATTTATATCTAGTGGCGGATTGAAAAATTTTTATTTAGTGAGAATGTTCAAAGTTATTCTTAATTTTTTAATCACCGCAGTTCGGTGAGTCAGTTGGATCTCCAACTGCTCTCTTCCTGTTTGAAATTTTTTAGTGTTTATCAGCAATAGCTGGTGGATGAACCCATTGTTGCACTATGTTTATTTGATGCGTTTATACAACTGTAAAATTCTTATTTTTGGATTATTTATTTATTTAATCAACTATTAATTAATTTATTCATATATATGAATTTGTGGAAAACAAAGGTTCCTGTGGAAAAAAAAATTGAATTATTTACCGTATATAAAACTCAATTTTCCTGAATAAATAATTATCCAACCTAAGTTATTGGGATAATTGGAAATCGTAATTGTATAACTTTTAGACGCTGTGTAATCTGTGGCAGTTGTCGCTGCAGCTATAGCAGTTGTAGTTGTTGTCGCAGTTGAACCGGTCTCCGAAGTGGTCGCAGTTATAGTTGCTGTTTCAGAAGCTGTTCCATCTGCAGCTGCTGTGATTGCATTTGTGGTTGCAGTCGCTGGAATCGTCGACATTGTAGTTGTAATTGTTTCAGCTACAACCACTGTGAAAACTGTTGCAGCAACATAAACTGTTTCAGTAGCTGTTGCAGTAACTGTTGCAGATCTAGTGGTGGTTGTATCTGTAGTTGTAACTGCGTTTGTTGTAAAAGTGATGGATACAGTTGCTATTGTAACTGTTGTAGTTGCAGTTACTGATGTAAATCTAGCTGCTGTTGTTGTAGCTGTTGTCCCGGAGTTAGCAGTTGCAACTGTTGTAATAGTTGTATCGGATTTAGCTGCAGTTGTTGTGGCTGTTGTAATTGCAGTTGTTGTTTTTGTTACAGTGGTAGCAGCAGTTGTTGTCACCATTGTAGCGGCAATTGATGTAGTGGCTTTTGTAACAGCTGTTGTTGTTGTGGTTAACGCAGCGGCTGCAGTTGTTGTTGTGGGTATTGTAGTAGCAGTTGTTGTTGCGGCTGTTGTAGCTGCAGTTTAAAAGATTTTTTAAAAAGTTTTTGTTTAATTATCAAACCATTTATTGAATCCTTATTTTAAACAAATCATAACTGACGGTTTAGTTGTTAAACCAGCGAAGGAATATAGAAAAATTCATTCATTCATTTACGGTGCAAATCTATTTCTATTCTTTTCCATTTTTTTTATTTTTCATTTCAGAAAAAATTTGTCTTCTCTGTTAACTGTTAAAATTAAACGAAGTTTGATTATTCGATAAAACTTCAAAACCAACGAGCTGCTATAGTGCCATTGAGTAAGATCTCACAGATGGTCAAATATCCGATACTCGTGTTCGATTGCTGGACAATGACGAACCGACCGGCCGGTATGTTGGAGTAACATCCCAAAGAAACCGTACTTGTGTACTTCGATACGGCATTGTTGTACGTGTTGCAGAGGCTGTACTGGCCGAGTTGCGGTTCAACCAGGGAAGGGTTTATATCAGTGACGCCGGCGTTCACTCCGTACATATTGTCAACGGCGTTCAGGGAGCTGAGCACTGGTTCACGTATCAACAATTTGAAAATTTACCTCGACGATTACTAATTAAAAATTAAATTTTTCTTTAAAAACCTAAGATTATATGATTTTAATCTTAATATTAAACTGTACCCAAAGTTTTAACTTGAAAGAATTCACTGAATTGAAAACGTTAAAATGTAGATAGTCAATGAAAAGTTTAACAATTTGGTTGATCAAAATGAAATGACTCACAAGAACTCAAGTAGCTGATGTCCATGACGATAGATTTGATCTTGTACCTGTCAGCGAGGTCGACGGCGAACCAGCATGGAGGCCTGTCTGCGATCCTACTCGACGACATGAAACACGTCTGGTCGGCTGGCAGGTCCGGGTTGTAGTCCAGGCCATCTACCGCCAGGGAGGATACAGAAGTGACCGAATAAATGGTGCTACTGTACGTCTGCTTGTTCAGTGCCAAATTAGCACTCACGTGGTTCATTAGTTTTGCGAGGATGACGTAGAATATTACAAGCGCCGCTAATATATGAGGCCACATCATTGCTCACCGATCCCGTCTCTTCTGACTTTATATAACAGCATTTCCATTGTACATGTACGCGTGTAGTTAGTTTTTTTTTCATATCGATTACAAAAAAGATGCCGTGTATTCAGTGACAGTGACTTGCAATCAACAATATTTAGCAAAGTAAAAAAATACTAATAAAATATTTGTGAAACAAGTGAAACAAACGGACTGGTACACACACAGACATACACACACACACACAAACAAACACACGCACGCACGCACACAGATGCACACATAAGCACTGTTCATTTGATGTTCAATGCAAATGTCAGAACAGGAAGGCATAATGGAAGTGTAGTGGCTAAATTTCAAAGCTTCGATCGATTCTGGGAAACGAAATAAATTTGCACTTAAATTTATTTTATCTCCTCAAAAATCAATCAGACAGCTTTTCTTGTTTTAAATGCAAATATTAATAGTACTTATAATAAGAAAAATAAAAAAATAAAAATGTATTTATAAATAAAATGATTAAATGCAAATGTTTAATTTTTCATGTTGATGTTGTAGTACTACATTATCAAATTTAGAATTTCAACTTAATAGAGAAGCTTCTCAAGCAAATTGTACTTAATTTATTTTTGCACCTAACACTCATTTGTAAGTACAAAGTATATTTCCCGAGTACTCATTTAAAATGAAACAAAAATTATTTAATTTTTTTTAATTTTTATTCGATTCATAACGAATTGAAAGGTAGTAAATAAACTATAAATTATAAAAATATAGAAATTATTTGCGATGTAAATTGAAACGTATTGAAAGGTAGTAAATAAACTATAAATTATAAAAATATAGAAATTATTTGCGATGTATCAAAATCTTGCCAGTATGTTGAAAAATACACGTATAACAATAAATGGAAACAAATTGAATCCGTATAGAAAATACAAGTACAAAGTTACTAACTAAATAGTTTGAATTAAAAAACAATCAATTAATTAATTAATTAGCAAACTAATCTATTAATTATTAGTGATCACAGGCTCTTCAAGCACGTTCAACAAATACTAAAGCTAGATAAGATATAGAGAGTTTTTTTTTATTGAAAGTTAATTTGTGCTAAAAACTTCTTTTCCAAATTTTTTCATCTATAGCTGGTGGGCTGACGACGTTCATCCAGTTGCTTGCACTCGGCCCAAAATGCTTGAGTTGTTATCTAACCAGGGTCGTGTTTGACTGTTTTTTTTTCTATACGCTCCTTTGTGGAATATTATAATTTATTACTATTCATAATGTTTTAGCTTAAATCATCACATTTTGTCGCAAGAAAAACTTTTTTTGATTTCTGCTAAACCACATAAATCAATCACACACACAGACACACACCACACACAAAAAACAAACACACACACACATACATACATACACACCACACACACACACACACACACACACACACACACACACACACATACACACCACACACACAAACACACACACACACTCACATAAATTTGAGAATGATTGTGAATGATGACAATGATATTGATTTTGTGGCAATTATGGTCAATACGATGACAACAATGATGACCATACTGACGATGATGGTGATGATGAAACCAGGGTACTCCAAATAATGTATGTTATACATATTTTCATTATATTTAATTGTAGGAATGTAGGTACCTCGTAGATATATCATATCATTCAATTACCCAGAAATTTAAATAAAGCATTTGTTCTGAAAGAGTTTGTGTATAATAGGGCCTAATTTATTAGCTCTCCCCAATCATTCCCAATTTAAACTGCTAAATTATCTCACCAGTTAAAATGCATGTGTGGCGTGAAGTTATAGTTGCTCTTCTTTCAAGAATAATACTTCAAGGACTTATGTACCGTCCAAATTTAGCCATTTATTTAAATGAACCAGCGTCTTACCCAGTAAAATTTAAAATAAAGTATTGATAACCCGAGCCAGCGTCTTACCCAGTAAAATTTAAAATAAAGTATTGATA